ATTGTTGAGACACCGTTACTTGCTCCAAAAGTAACTTTTTAATGTGCTCTATGGGCAGAAGGAATTATTGGTTCATGTTGTCTGTACATGCCGCGGCAGTCGCTTGCCTGAAGTAATTTTTAAATAGCAAACCGTTATCTTTATAATAAGGCTCAGCTCTTAGCTAAAACAATCTTATATACATAATATTTCTGCTTGAAAACTACATATCTATAAAAGAACATCCTTTACAATACTTATTTAAGGGTTTTACAGAGTCGGAACCGCCGATATCGGACCACCAGAGCAAATAGCTGCCATGCAAACTGTACGATCAAAATCAAGTTATTGTATGGACAACTTTTTTATTAGATATGATATAATCACGAAATTTCGCATGGCATCTTAATTCGTCTTAAAGGGTGTTTATATCAAACAGCGCAGAAAGAAAGAATTGCCGAAACATTTTCCGTTGTATGAAAGCACAGGTGAAACATTAATTTCCCATTAACACATCTATTTGAGAAATATACCAGACCAACTTTTATTAAGTAACCTTAAAAGTGAAAAACATACACCCATTTCAAATCCATGAATCAGTTTTTAAAAATTACAAGAGAAAATTTCCGCACTTTAAGATAACCACTGGGACATTTAGCACTTAAGCATGGCTACTTAATGCAAATAAAGCAAATCGGGTCAACACTCAGGCCTCAGTGCAAAGCATATTTTATTAGGCGCATATCTTTCGCTAAGCAAGCAACACTTCATCAATAAAACACATACACACATAGGTGTATTTATGCAAATTTACATGTATGTACACAACATCTACATAAATCACTAAGCATCGACATACACGGCGTATATGTGATTGGGCAGCAGTGTGGTTACGTATACGCCATGGCATACAAACAAAATAGATGTGTAGATTTGCATAGATATAAGCAATAAGACAGAGCGAATACGATCATGATAGTATTAAATATGTGCATATTCGATTGTATAGGTATAGCAAAGTGGGTGTGGTTGAAATACCTATTTGTCCGCCTGAACATGTCTGCAGTCATGTTGGCACAGCTTTGCAATGCAAATTAGAATTCATGCCTTATGCACTACTATCCAACAGCTGACTGCCAGCAGACACACGTGTCAACATATATGAAATTATGCCGTAACATAAATGAAAAGCACACAATCGCGTGAAGTAGGAACGCTCGCTCAGCCCGTTTATTAAACTAAAATCTTTAACTGCACAATCAGGCGCTGTGGAGGGGGGCAGGCAGTTGACTGCAAACAAACAGTGCTGACATTCCACTATTAAAATGTCAACAGTCTGTCAACAAAAGCGGCTGTCGAAGCGCCATCAACCGAATCAACCGCGCGGCTTTTCTACCAATTTTTGCGTTTTTCTTTGTTCGCCTTCTGTGTGTTTGTATACGCAGCACAGATCTGTCTTAATTTATCCACATAAATGGCTACACATTAGTAGTAGTCCCTAAAGTGGGGTGCAAAAATTGATTTGAAGTGTGCCATTGAAGCGGATTTTGTCGTAGCAGCGACGCAAGTGGGCAGCTCATATTCATCAGAGTTTCAATATGTGTGCTTATGTATGTATATGTGTATGTCTGTACATGAATGAGATTTTCAAATGAAAGCATATTCCCGAAATGATGCATTTAAGGCCATTCAAGTGCTTTTCGTAGCATTTTCTTTCAAGTCTACTGCTGCGTAAAGTGATCCCCAATGATGTATTCCGTAAAATTCGTCAATCGATTGGCAGAACGCACTGCCATCGCACTCGGCACTGAGCAGCTGAGGTTTTTATACTTTCTTTGGCATATTTGTTGCTGGCTAGGGTTTGGTCCCACAAGTTTTCGTAAATATCATGTCTAAATGCTCATTAAGTAAAAAAAAAATATGAAGACAAAATTATAGTTGTTTGGGTTTTTCTTAGAAGTTTTTTTAAGTTACCATCCATAATTGATGATTGATAAATAAAGAAATTCAAATTATTATGGTCTAATATACGAAATATTTTCAAGTTAACTGTTTAGACACATAAATTGTTTTATAAATAGATAGGGCAAATGATGCCAAATTATTTAAGTTTTACTAACCAACTATTATATTCCTTAAGATATTTGTTTAAAATAAATGTAAATGCAGGAGCGTCATCTCTTATTTTGGTTTAAGGGATTTTAAAGATGGTGCTTTTAGGTATTACATATAATTTTATCATATGCCTACAAATGCAAGGAAACTAGGCTTAGTGGGGATCGCCAAATAGATTGCCAACATCATGAATTCAAAGTCTTTGCTGCAAGAATGATTTTCTGCGTAATTACTCTCCCACCAACTTTGTGACCCTCAAGCCTACCATCATATATCTAGATCACATTTATCTTGACCTGTAAAAATATTCCTAGAAAAGAAAAAAATGTTAACTTCAGCTTCACAGGTGCACATTTTATGACATAAAAGGCCACAAAAAGATCTTTAACATAATTTGATCGATAAATTTAAATGGCAGCTATATGTTATCGTATTCCGTTCTAAACAAACACTTCGAAGATTGTAGCAATGCCTTGAATAATTATTTGTGCTAAATTTCGTGAAGATAACTTTTCAAATGAAAAGTTTCTCCATACAAGGACTTAAATTGAATCGGTCAGTTTATATGGCAGCTATATGCTATTGTTGTCCAATATCAGCGGTTCTGACAAATGAGCCACTTGGTGGAGATGGTGGAGAGAGGATGAGTGCAAAATTTCAGGTCGATATCTCAATAACTAAGAGACTAGTTTCAGCAAATGCAGACTGTATAGACAGATAATTTTTATTTAATATATGTTATCCTTTTGGTTGAAACAAAAATCGTTGCAAAGTTAATATACCCTGCTCAGGGTATAAAAGGCTATCGAAACATTATACTGAGTTACCAGATGTATAAGGAGAATTGAGATCTATATTTATGTAGAAGATAAACTCCTATAACAAAATTTAATAATGCATTTATTTTGACTTCTGGAACCCCCTGAAAATATTTTTGCTTCAACGATTAATTTTGCAGGTGTACCGGCGTTTTTTTTTGAAAAATGAAATACTAATTTTAAGTGGAAAAGTAAAAAAAAAATGTATTTCAAGTATTGAACATTGCTTTTTGCACATTTTGACCACCTTTTTGGAAATTTGTGGATGCCATGCCAATAGAAATGTTCGTATGTTGAAGCAAACCAATCAGACACCGGATTTTCGACTTCTGCGTAGGAATCGAAGAGATGCTCAGCCAATGCGCCGAATCGATCTGTTTTTGCAGTCGATGTCGATGGATGTATTGGAGTAACTCATGATTTTCTCTATTTATGATTCTTAAAATAAACCCATTTTTCATCGCTAGTAACTATTTATTGCAAAACTGATTTTCTTTCGTGTCTTTGAAGAAAAATTTCCTAAGTGTTTTATCCATTTGTCTTTCATTCAATTCATGTGGCACACATTTTCCCCACTTTTAGATCTTTTCCATAGCTTTCCAACGGTCTGAAATTGTTTGTTGTGTCATTTAACATGACTGCCATTCGTTTTCGACTCAAAGTATCATCTTCATCCAATATTGCTTGCATTTCGAGATCTTCAAGTTTTTTAATCATTATCTCTGAACTATTGAAACCATCTTTTGCTCTCTTTCTAAAGTGTGACTAATTTATTACACCTATAGGATACATTAACTGGCATATGAAGCAAACATTTTGGCAACTGTTGACACTGGAAATTGAATTTAGCGATTATAATGATGCAAGCTGGTTTTTATATGCGTGACTTTAGCGTTGTCAATAAAGAAATGCCAGGGTCACCACTAAAATAGCAATGTCAGTAAATACACTTTCAAATATATTTTATCAAATCTTGCTCAAGACCCACTGATCCTTAAAATAAGTTATCAAGAGACCGACACATACAAACACAAACCTTAGAAGTCTTCATATAAGTTGTGTTTATAAAAATGCTAATAAAACAAATGGGTTCTCCTAAAAACTGAGTGAGCATATGTCATAGTCACATACATAAATGAGAAAACACCATGGAAACAGCCACAAAGAAATGACATTCACAGTTTTATCCAATTTAAATTCATGAACTCATCTTACTTTGAGCTAATAAAACTAAGGCGACGACCAAATGTGTCCACAATCAATCTAACAACAATGTAGGTAAAGCTACACTGTAGGAAAGTTAGAAGCTATTGGAACAAATTACTACTAGTTTAGAACTAGCAAAACTTGCGATTTGGGGTGGTTGGAAAATGGTTTCCAAAACTTTATAGTAACGTACTAACCAACGACTAAATAAATAATCTAAATCGTAGAACTTGGAAGTGTGAACAATCCTTAAAACACCCGTCAAACTCCATTGTATCTAAAAAATGTAACTCGCTGGTCTCAACTATATTGGGACACATTTTTGGCGACCGAATCAACTCAAAAATCGGGTTTCACAATTGGCAATTAAGATCCAGTGAATTGACTCCGTTAGATTACCTTCCAGTCAATAGACTACGATAATAAATATGCTACGACTAATTAAGTGGAAACCAACAATCGGAATGTTACATCCGAGATAGAAGTTATTACGGCTAATTTAAAAAATACTTGTTCAAAATGGATCCGTCATGGTCTCAAGAAACCACAGTTCAAATATTAGAAATTTCATTAGCTTTTCCGGGTTTTATTTGAATACCTATTAAAAAGCATCCTTTACTATTACTACTAGTACGAAACTTTAGAAAAAACTTATATCGAGAGACATATGACGTTTCACAGAGCTACGTAATGCCGCATTCGCGAAATCACATAAGTTTGGAACTACCGCTTCTTCCGTCAGGGTATTAATTTATATATATATTGTATATATAGTATTATATTATCTATTACTTCTTGCGACTTATTTTAAAGCAATGCGTAAACATTGACAATGCAATTGTTTGACAATCTGTAGGAATACTAAAAAAATTATTTACTTACCAAACAGACGATTGAGCCTAGATTGATGATGATAAATATTATTTGAGAGGTAGAGAAAGACCTCAATGCTTACTATGATATGCGACTTTGTGTTGTGCGAACGCTTGGCAGGAGCTTAGGGCTAGCAAGAAGGATATGGCGACGTTTAGCCACAGAGCAAACACATTTGCGTTTTTTAGCGTGTTAGAGCCGAAAAAATTCCATAAAAAAACGCATATTTACAGACCAATACACTTGCGTTTATTAATTTAGTCTGTCACGTGAGCAAACTCGTATCTATAACGGCGCAGTGGTAACTGTAACAGCTGTTTACAAAACCGATTTGGTTGCCGGCGCATCTAAGCCAATCCGATTATGTGAATATGAAGGGTTTGTATGTACGTAGGTATGTATTTATATCATTTGTTGCATTTCTTATGCCAGTTATGCGCACATATACTGGAGTATATGCAACATATGTCAGTTATATTTTTACGCTGATTACCGAATTTTCAAAAGACGTTTGTTTATATTGTAGTATGCACATATGCTGCAGCTGCTATAAAAATGATGTGGCGAATTTAATATTTATTTCAATATTTTTATGAATTTTTCGTATTAAAACTTGTTTTTTGGAAATTTAAAAAAATGCATTTTTAATGTATACGTCTTTCACATTTTTACTGCTGGTTACTTAATAATAAATCTAACTTTTACCCGCGATGTAATAAATTGATTAAAACACAAACATTCGCACACACACACACACACATACTGTTACGAGCAACGTAAGAGCCGTAAACAAAGCGCCGCAAATCGGCGTAAAGTTGCGCTTAGGGGTAGGGGGAACACAACGCTAAATGACACACAGTAATAATAATAAATATCGCATTGAAATTGCCGGAAGGGGAAAAAAATTACATTAGTGTGCATGTATTTATACATATACATATAAAATTATATATGTGAGCGCGTACTCCCACCAATAGCCCATTAACGCCTACGCCGTTGCTATGAATTGCGCGCAGTAAAAAAAAAAGCAGTAAAACTTCAAATTGACCACTCATCGATGCGGCAGCAAATGTAAAGGCAAAGCAGGGAGGTATTGAAAAAAAGGAAAGCAAGATCACAACAAAAAAAAAGGGGGTAAACAATATTTGTGAGACAGATGAACGCACGAGTGCACAAATACCACGAGTTTTGCAATGAGCAAATACAGGGTGCGCTGTTGGAAGGATGCAACTGTTTTACTGAATATTTTAAGGGCTCATAACTGCATTTACAATTTCCTTTCTAAAGCTTGAATCTCTCTCTCAGAACATTATCCAAAACCATTGAAATTATAATAAATATTACAAACAGTTTTCTATTGATCCTGTAGCTAACTATAATTTATATATTACAAACAGTTCTCTATTGATCCTGTAATAATTTAGTTTAATAGTTCTCTATCGATCCTGTAGCTAACAATGATTTACATTTTCTCGACAATGGAACCTTTCTGAAGTCCTTGCCAAAATAAACTTTATATCATAGTGTGCTCCGAGGTCCTTATAGAAAGTAAAATATATATATAATTATGTCTAAATATCATACCTAGCTAATATGAAAGACTATAAACATATCGGCGAGCTGAGTTTTCGCTTTTCTGCAGTGCTGAAGTTGCTGACTTAAGTTCCAAATGAGTCGCTAAACATTGTTAAGCCTAATTTGCTTCAAGTGCGTTTGTAAGAAGACGACCAGTTGATCGACGGTAGATTAACTAGAATAAGTCTTGTCATTGATCTGGTTGTTATATCCATTTCCCATGACATAATATTCTATTATCTAAAGGGATATCTGCAAATGCATTAGTGAACCGTTCTTATGGATAAATTGGTTCGAACGACGCCAAAACTACCACTTCTATTTCCGTCATCAAAAGTAGACGTTTAGGAAAGACGATCAATAGTGCGGTAAGGAAAAACTCTCGAAATAATAAGTTTTTTGAAAAGCTTATAAAGGCCCCTTGCGGCAACAATTTCTTAGTAAATTGCACTGTTGCTTTTAACAATAATCCGCTCCATATTTTTTTGGAGATATCTCGTCTGAATGATGAAAAAGCTTTCCATACAAGCATTTGATTCCGATGGTTCAGTTTGTATGTCAGCTAGCTGTTGTAGTCCGATATCGGCAATTCCGACAAATTAGCGGCTCCTTGGGTTAAGAAGCACGTGAGCAAAATTTCAGATCGATTCTTAAAAACTGAGTTTGCGAATTTTAAGTGATTTGTTTACATTTAATCTATTCGTTAATTTAGACTGTTCTTACTGTCGTTGGGGATTTAGAGAACAGCTGTTTTTAACTAGCCGATCGAAGCTGTGATATTTTTTCGCGCCACAATTCTATTAAATCATCCTCGGCAGCCTCACTCCATATTACCTTCTTTTTTTTGATACTATTATCCTTCATTTTCACTTATTTACTGGATGTTTCTTTAATCTAATACTATTTATTTGATTTAGTTGTTTATTGTTTTTCACTTTGACAAAAGCAGTGTGATAAAACAAAATGTGACATAGAGATGACACTAATAATAGTCGCATTGGGAGATTTCGGGTAGATTAACTTCAAATCTCCTCGGTGACGAGATCACCAAGTGTCATTTTTAAATGCCGAAATATTGCCAAATCCAGTAGATTAGTGATATAATGTACTCAACAGCCTAAATCTCGTGATTAAGCAACGGTCGGAAATTGGTATAAGCTCACCTTGCTGATCATTTATATAAATATATATTTTATGGGGTCTCCGACATTTCCTTCTGGGTGTTAAAAACTTCGTGGCAAGCTTAATATACCTTGTTACGGTTATAATAACGGAATTTTTGTTGCGAATTTGTCTACGCAGTATGCCTTGTAAGCTTTGTAACAGAACTTATGGCAAGATAATGCTATATAAATATTATTAATTGCGGACCTTTTTTTCTGCGATTATGTGAAGTCGCTGGTTTACGCAGATAAGACTGAGACGATTGACGCCCTAAAAGAAATATAATGATCGGGGCGTTATTGCTGACATACGGTTCCATTTGCTGCAAAAAGTAGTTGAAAATTGGGCCTCTCGGCTGGAATTTATTCGAGCCAGCAAACACTTATCTATATAATAAAGCCACATTGTATACATTTTATTTCTTATTGAGAATCATGTGTATGTATCACACCCTTAAGCATCACCCTTGAAACTCTGATTGATTTTCACCATAAGTGATGAGTCATTGACTAAATATGTTATTGAAAATTTGCAAAACATTTTGAATTGTTGTGGTTAAAACGGTTTCTTACAAGGACAGAATGAATGAAACTAGTTGCAATTATTTTTGTAATATTTAGTTATTTCATAGAAGAGTGGATATAATTTGTTGTAGAACAATATTTTGATTTCCGAAATGAATTTCACCACGATTAAAAGTTGACTAAAAACACAAACTGTGATAAAAAAAAAAAGATTGTACCGATTTAAAAAACCAAAATAAAGTAGTAGCTCAAACACACTTTTTGTAAAGGCATATATGAGTAAAAACCTCAGCGCTTTGTAGGTAATAGACCTTAGACTTTAATTTCAGTATTTTCCAGAAGCACAGCGTAATTTACAAGTCTTCAATTTACTTCTACCTTTAAAATAGCATCTCTCATCCGTACAGATACAAATTCGAACTCATTAATTTTGTATGGCCAAACACAAATATAAAACTCAAATATATATTTCACGCTTTGAAGTGGCACTTCAATCGTTAATTAATGGGTGCTAAACACATGCAGCACACATCTTAATTTCCCTGCAATATGTTATTTTGCCAATGAATTTTCGCTTAGCGGCGATTATACATAATAAGATGTTTGGGATGATGACCGGCAAATGTGTTAAATATCTGCTCACATGCACAAAGGTTGAATGTGTGTACAAATTATGCTTTCAGGTGCCATGCACGTGTTATTTTACCCTAATAAACAACTGTTAGCGCCTAAATATAGGCAACAGCGGCGCTGAGAATAAATAATAAGGAGGATGTAAGAGTAACAGAGACTGCAAAACAATGGCAAATGTCGACAACATGCAGCAGCCTGTGGAGATATGCCCATCAACTGCAAACATATATGTCTTAACACACATACATACACACACACACACAGCTATATTGGTATGTATGTGTGTAGCATAATATGCCACGCATGCCAGCACAAATATGGCACAGTTAGTGCGCCAAGTGGGTCGTTTGGCTCCGTTTAGCTTTCTCACTTATCGTAGTGCATTCACACACACAGCTCCACACACAAAGCAAATGTATAATTTATGGACAGCAAGTTCAATTCTTTGCAAGCGACACTCGGCTGTCCATTATGTGTGCTTGGTCGACCGACTGGCTGATTGCCGGCAAGTGCGCAACACAAACCCGCACACACACGTGCAAATAGCATCATCATCACCGCCATCAAGCGTATAGTAGGGCAGCCGTAATACCGAGCGTGAGTAGGTCAGCGCAGTGTCCACAGTATTTATTGTCACACGTCGAAAATTTTCACATTTCACTGATTTCCGTTAATTTTTTTCGCACCCTGCCCTGCAACCACAGCTGAGCCAATTAATTAATATTCAAACACAATACTGCTTAGCACCACATACACATTATGGTTGTTTATTTTGAAAAAAATTGTTTATTTTGTTTCTATTTTAAAAACATTTTTCAAAAAAATTTCGAAAAAAAGAAAAAAAAAAGTCTACCGTCAATCACTCCTACTCGGCAAAATATGAATTTTTGACACTCGTTTTTTTACATTAAATCTGTTTGGGTAATATGTAACTTTTTTTTTGGTTTCGTTTTAATTTTTAAAACTATTTAATTGCTGATTTCCGCTTCCGGCAAACGTACACGTTGCTGCTTACTACGAAACTGGCTGCATTACGAATGTGTCAGCTCGTTTTTTAGCAAACCGTAAAGCCGACGAGGATATTTGCGAGTTACTGCAACAACAAATTTTGCAACTCTCGTTCAAACGAACTTGTTAAATCAACACTTGGTACCGTTATATGTTCACTGGACATAAATTGTTAAAATTCAAAACACAACAGGTTTATTTGCAACATGTTGCATGCAACGTTGTGTGTTTGACTTTTTTTGTTTACAAAGCAGACAGGCAACGTGGCTTGCTATGACAAAACTGTGTCGCATCCTCGCATATATATGTCTAAACATATATGTATATATACGAAGACACAAGAAAGCTTGCTTCTGGTGTTTATTTCACCAGCTGTGGGATGTAATGGAGAAGTTTTACGTTCTGTAGTGTAAGCTTTTCACAATTTGCATTAAGGGGTACTTTGCTTTGCGCATGCGCCATCGACAGCTTTGAAAGTGTTCCTCTGCCTTTAGTCAGCATTTTACCGTAACTACAATAAATAGGTAACTTATGATAAATTACGATACATTTCTGGTTGCAAGACCTGAACACTCAAAATAATGGGAAGATCGAGAATTTACATGATGGGTAATCTGCAAGTTTTCGAACAATTACGATAAATCAAAGTTGCATAAAACTTAAAACAGGGAGAAAATGGGAAATTCGCATCCGAAAACTGAGAAGACAGGAAATTACAAATAATGAGAAGACTATATCATTTAAACAACTGAATCGTACTTAAAGAATATTTAAATTACCGACAGTCACCGCCAACGTTTACCTCCTTAAGAATGCGTTAAATAGGATTCAAAAATATCATCATAACTAAGCAGTTAAAACTGTTGCCTATATTTAGGCGCTTAGCTTTATATTTTCTACTAAATATTGTATAAACGTTTTTTTCAATAACTACAAAGACATTAAATTTTCAGAGTTTTTGTAACCTTACTTCTGAAAGGACCATTGATCGATAAACGAAACATTTCTCCATAAAAATAACCTGACGAAAATCAATGAAAGGAGTATAACCTATAAGATGAAGACCTCTATACTGAGATTAAAGCAATAGAGACCTTTAACGAAAACTTTTTACGATACTTTATTCCAAATATGCTTTAGGTCTGAACTTACAACAAAATTTTTATTACGAAATATCGCATTAAATCTCACACAATCTTTTACTCTTTAGGTATCTGAGATACTTAAAAACATTTTAATAGTTATTATTAAGAAGAATATTATGTCCGTTTCTGCTTCACATTTAAAAATTTATATGAAGAATAAAGATATTTTGTGCCGATTGTTGGAAACCGAGTATACTGCTAACAAAATTAGTATCGATATCCTATGTCAAATCGGCCTTCTACCTTGGCCTACGAAAAATCTATTGTCATAAAAACAGGAAATTAATTGCCACAAGAATCAAGGACGATAAATATCTTAAATTGTAACAGTAATAAAAACAGTAGAGATTGATTACGCGACTTGTCAAGAAAAGCACTGCGAATGTGAAGAGCTATAAGAGCCATCTACATGTGTAAAAGGTGCTTTAGGACCAAAGCCAACAATATCCGAAAAGGCCGATTAAAATGATATAAATTTTTGATGATTAACAAATCAATCGAAATCCTTTCCTTTATTAACAGGATTCAAAAAAGATAAAAAAAAGTAACGGAAGCTATAATACCCTTCACAAATACACAAGATTCCTTCAAAGAACTTGATTCCGATCGATCAGTTTGCATGGCAGCTGTACTCTATAGTGGTCTGATATTGGCAGAAGCAATGACCCTTAAAATTTCTAGAAAAGTAGCTACAAAGTGATCGGTCATAGTTGAAAGTGACTTTCGACGTTAATATGGCGGGATGAGATAATTCGCTAGGGTGACACCACATTCCCATTTATGGTCATTAACAATCTCTCGTAGTTGCAAGAAGACATTATTACCGATTTTAAGAAAACAGTCATTGTCATACTACTACTAAAGTATGATAATTATTTGAGAAATACTATTTGTTGATTGTTCTTGTCCATTAATTGGCAAATGCGTTTAGCTCGAGTTACAGATACTGCCTGTATATAACATAGTTTGCAAAGTTTATACGGATGATTGATATAGATATTTTCGGTTCTCAATATAAATTTAGTTTCAGCAGTGTTGAGTAGGTATTCTCTAGTGTCGAAAATAAAAAATTTAAACACATTTGGCAGCAATTTTTACTATCAAGGTTTATTGAGAGAACATAATGAGATTGAACTGCAAGAATCCTCTCAAAGCTGTGAGCTCATTAGATTTGGCGGAATGAAAACCATTCAATATTTAGCAGGCCTTTAATTTACTACCGAGATGACTTCTTAGTTTCACTTAAAGTACACTATAGGCCTGTTAATTACTCTCAGGCCTGGCCGATCTAACGGACACTTGCTACTTGATAATAATAAATAACGAAATGTTTTTCTTGCTCTTGAAAATTGACAAAAAAGCGCACTATGTGTACTTATATACGAGTATACTTGACTGCATCGTTAAGCAACAGCTGTTGGTGTATATATATTCCCAGATATGGCCCTACTGTGCTTGTCATTCATTATTACATTAATTGTGTTCTTCCTGCAGACGCCTTCGCAGACGTTGCCACCACAGCGGGGCTCGCTCCAACTGAGTAAGGAGAACAGTCGAGTAATGGAGGGGCGGTTGGATGTGTAAGATAATTTTTGGTCACTTTTGTATTTGTTTTTCTTTTCGAGGGTAGCATGTTTTCATTTTCTCTATTATTTCATTTGTGATGGTTGCTTTTATGTTTATTTTATGATGAAAATGTAATTACAATTTGTGTCAATATTTGCGAAGCTATTCTTCACCTCAGCCTATGGAGAGGTACTCAGCAGCCACCAAGTTGTTTATGTCTCAGTATTAATAAACGATTCACTGTCATCGTCAAATGTGATAATAACTGCACGACCACATGCAACCGTATGATGGCGTACAGAGTAACAATATGGATGAATATGTGCCATACACATATTGGTTTTTTCTTTGGAGTTTGGAGTTTTCATACCACTATAGCTCACTAATGGAATTTCGTTGAAGTGCGTACTGGCCTGCATACATCTACAGCTACATATATGTGCTTTTGTATATAAGTATATATTTTCCGTACAGTCATCCAAAACTAATATTGGTCAGGACTCTGCCCATTTGTCTATAATGCTTTCAGTATTTAGAGCAAATCTAATTCTAGTATTTTAGGTGACGGATTAGGGCTTTCAACATTGCTGTGCCCTTGCTTATTCAGAGCAAAATATCTTCTCAAGTCAAGTATGACCCGTCAACCCACTGAGGATTTCTAATCACATTGCTATACAACCCTAAAGCTTATATAGCCTCAATTTGTTGGATAACGTAAAGACTCACACCGCAAATGAGAGAGAAAGCTGACCAAACTTACACCAAGTTGAAACCACTTGGTGTTTTTAATCTGGAGAATGTCGCACAAAATATACATATACATTAAAGTACAGTTCAACTTCAACATGAACTGTGGCAAATGCAGAAAAGACCTACTTTGGATCTAAATCCTCAAATCACCAGTTAAATGCGAAAAAAAATATTAAATAGATTTTAGTGGCCTGGATAGTATTTGAATGGTCCTAATGCCTAGTGAAGAATGCCTCTGTTGGATCCATAGAACATACCAAGCAAACGAATGTATGCGGTAGCGGACTACGAACACGAATTAAACCACTTTCAAAGTGAGTAATTTAAAAGCAGTATTTCGAAAATAGTACTTCAGTCAAATCGCAATAGGTATCAGTAATGACCACCTATAACATTTTTTTAACCACGCTAGTTAGGTAATAAGAAGAAATTAAAATCGCCTTCCATTGAGTCAGATTAGAGATTTCTCTAGTAATACCTGACCTGAATATAGTCACTTCATACAGGATTCAAGTACTCTTTGATTTCACTGTACTAGTTTTGCTTTCTAAAACAAGAATCGGTACACTAACACATACTGCTCTTTCCACATTTTTATACCTTGAGTTGGTTTGACAATGTCCATATGTCTCCAGCATATAGCTGCAATACAAACTGAGGGATCAAAATGAAGTCCGTATAGGGAAATATAGGAATTTCATCGAATATCTTCACGAAATTTGGAACGGATTATTGTTAAAGGCAAGACGACTATATTGTTCAGATTGGGCTACTAGCATATAGCTATCATGCAAGCCGACCGATGAAAATCAATTTATTGTATGGAAGTTTTTTTTATTTGGGAAGGGTATTCGGCCATCAATGCAAGCGATGTTAAGGTTTTCTTGTTTAAAAGTTGATGTGAAAAACAAACCAAAAACTAATTAGTGGAATGCGTTTTGACTTTATACAAATGTGCCTATTAGTACCAAAGCGGATCGCATGAAAACCACAAATGGAGCAAACTTTAAAAAAATGTAAACAGTTGTTCCTAAATGGGCAGCACAATTGTGGAATTGCAGAAACTTGACGTATTTGCAGCTTAACAAATAGTCAGGCCAATTTGCGGCCATGTGCACAGCATCTCCGGAGACCAAGTTGCAGCATATGCAGAAGTCTTCGGAATTCATTGCGTGCCCAGAAACATGCATACATTTGTATACTTTTGTAGATTGCAGATGTGAGTTATTTGGTTTGAGGAGAATAACGATAGCAAATCCTGGTAATAAAGTGCACACATCTCTCATTCACAACAAAAACAGTGTACATATGTATGAATGTATGTGGGCATTTGCATTTATTTTTTGGCCAAGAACTTTTTGTTCAAAATTTTGTGGACATCATTTATATACTCACTTGCGGTTTTTTCTTAAAGTCAGTTAATTCCAGCTGCAAATTGTAGAAGTTTACCATACATCTAAATTTAGTCATCCACTCGTACTAATTTTAACTGTGTCGACATTTGTAAGAAAATATTAGTCAAATTTTGTATTCGCATAGCTTTGTAACTTGAAGTAGTATAATTTAATTTTATAGTTTTTCAAATAATTTAAAGAAATGTGTTCAAATAATTTTTTTTTTTGCACATTGTGAAAAGAAAGAGACCTACGCGCGATTTAACTGACCCTTGGTGTACCGTAAACACTTGTTTTATACAAAACACTTTCTAGACAAAAAAAAAATGGGTTTTGTTCCCCTTTATAATTATCATACCTTTGATATGATATCAATCGT